TGGTTGAGTTTGATCTTGAAACAAGGTGTTAGAGGTTGGATATAGAGGTCGCCGACCATAGGCTCCTTTTCCTTTGTAGTATGCCCATGAAGGGTTTTGATGTTATTTTGGGGTATGGACTGGCTATCGTCAACCGGGCTGTTATGATTGTTTACTTGCCAGAGGGTCACGTTATTGGTACTTTGAGCGGGGATGGTTTCATTTCTTGGGAGACCGGGTTGGTGATGTTTACCTACCGGGGTTATGATTCGCGAGGGGCGAAGTGAGCTTAGTGGCTACGCTTAGCTTTTGAGAGTGGTGAGTGTGGGTGAGACCCAGCTGTGTTGCCAATGGGTGGTTTTGTGAGTATGTCGATGTCTTTCCGAGGAACCTTGTAGTTGCCACCTCACCGAGAGAGATAGAGTTCTCTATTGATCTAGTGCCCGCACGGCGCCCGATTCTTATGGCACCTTACCGTTTTGCTCCAGCAGAGTTGTGGTTGAGTTGAAAGTTCAGCTCCAGGGGATGCTAGGATAAGGGTGTTTGTTCGCCTATGTTTCACCCGTGGGGATCACCGGCCTCTTTTGCTAAAAAGAAAGATGGTTTGCCTTGAGATTGTTGTATTAGACTACCGGAAGTTGAATCGGGGCTAACTGTCAAGGAATAAGTACCCTATGCCCCGTATAGATGATTCTGTTTGACCAGTTAAAGGGTTCCCCATTGTTTTTCTAGATAGACTGAGATCGGGTTTACCACCAGTTGAAAGGGTCAGGAGAAGGATACTTCTTAAGGACGCATTCCGTACATAGGTATGGCCATATGATTTTGGTGATGCCATTTCGGGCTTACCAATGCACGGCAGTCTTTATGGACTTGATGAACCGGATCTTCCGGAATTCTTAGGACCATTTTGTAGTCGTTTTCGTGGACGACATTCCTGGTTTACTCACCTTCAGAGGAGGAGCACGAGAGGAACACTTGAGAGTGGTGCTTTGCAGTTGCTCTAGAGCCCATAGGCTGGTATGCCATAGTTTAAAGTGTGAGGTTCTGGCTGAGGGAAGGTCAAATTCTTTAGGCCAGTGGTTATCCGGAGAAGGGGTGTCCGTTGATGCATCCAAGGTTGGAGGGCACTGCAAGATGGGCACAGCCTAAGAGTGTGTTTGAGCCATCCGCATTTCTGGGCATTTAGCTGGGTATTACCGTTCGATTTGTGAAAGATTTCTCCAGGGCTAGGCCTCCACGTTGACTAGATTGACTTCGGAAGGGAGTCAAATTTGTGCTTGGAGTGAGACTTTTTGAAAGTCGTCAAGAGCTGAAGGTGTAGATTGACTACTGCGCCGGTCTTGATTATTCGGAGAAGAGGGGCCGGGTTAGCGGTTTATTAGATGCCTCATGAGAGGGTTTGGTTGTGTGTTGATGCAAGATGGGGAAAGTGGTAGCTTATAGCTCACGTCAGTTGAAAATTTTCACGAGAAGAATTACCCTACAAACACGACCTAGAGTTTAGCAGCAGTGATCTTTTGCCTGAAGATTTGGTGTAACTACCGTTTATGCGTGAAAGGTTCGGAGGGTGTTCTCGGACCACAAGAGTTTGAAGTATCTGTTTAACACAGAGAGACTTGAATTTGAGGCAGAGGAGATGGATGGAGTTCATTTGAGGATTATGATTTTAAGTGCACTATCATCCCAGAAGGCCAATGTTGTAGCCGATGGCCTTAGTAGGAAATTCCATTAGTGATGTAGCTTGTATAGCCATCCGGGGGAATGGGGGATGTTGGGTGTACTATGGCGAGTTGATTTGCATCTGGGCGAATCTGTTGAGCTGCGACCTTCTTCTCTGTGTCGCGCAGTCTACACTTGTGATTTAGGAGTATTAGAGGCACAGAGAGGTGACCTTGAGGTAGAGTCCTTCCGAGAGAAGATCTCCAGTGGGAGAGTTTGAGAAGGGTTTGACGGTGACTATCCCGACCTGAGTGTAAGATATCGAGACCGTTTGTTTGTGCCGGAGTTCTTGCCGGAGAGGAAGTACTCCGAGAGTTCCATTCATTCACGTTTGCGGTGCATCCGGGAGTACTAAGATGTATCGGGGAATTGGTGATCGCCAGTTTTGGTGGCGGGGTAATGAAGAGAGATGTGGCAGTTTTCGTATCTAAGTGCCTTACTTGCCAGCAAGTGGTAAGGCCCGAGCCATCAGAGGGCCAGCGGTTTGCCTGCAGCCCTTGCCTATTGCTTGAGTGGAAGTGGCGAGCATGTCACTATGGACTTCGTTGTAGGTCTTCAAGGGACTCGCCGGCTATGATGCCTATTGGGTGGTTGTAGAACGGCTTGACTTAGTACCGGCGCACTCATTTCCCCATGCGCGTGAGAGATTCGGGTTAGATTCATCGGCAGACTTGTATATTTCAGGAATAGTGAGATTGCCATGGGGTCCCAGTGACGATCGTCTCGATAGAGATCCTCGTTTACGTAGGTTGTGGCAGAGTTTGCAGAGTCCTTGCGGTGCTAAGTGACCTTTAGTACGGCTTATTCATCCTCAGACTGACGGCGTTCCGAACGTACTATTCAGATCCTTGAGGATTATGCTTCGGGTTGTGTCCTTGACTTAGTGGGACGTGGAAGTCACTTACCCATTAGGTGGATGTTTGCCTTACAACCAACAGTTTTCAGTCTAGTATCGGTATGGCACCGTTTGAGGCCTTGTATGGCCGACCGTTAGGTCTCTGGTTTCGTTTGGGCCGAGGTGGATGACACACCTTTGTGCGGTCTGTGGATTGGTTAGAGAGATGACGGAGAAGTTAAGCTTATCCGTTAGGAGGCTTGTTTACAGCCCAAGAGTCGCAAAAGAGTTATGCCAACCGTAGGAGGAGGCCTTTTGGCGTTCGAGGTAGGTGATCATGTCTTCTGAAAATATCACCTTTAGGCGAGGTTTTGATGAAGATTTGGAAGAGTGGGGAAGTTATCCCTCGATTTATGGTCCCTTTGAGGATCCTGAGAGGATTGGTGAGGTCTTATCGTTTAGCGTTGCCGCCACAGTTGTCCGAAGTTCATGACGTGTTTCATGCTGAGTATGCTTCGGAAGTATGAGCCGATCCATCGCCATGTGCTTAGATGGACGACTTAGAGGTAGATTGAGGATGGCCTCGTTATGAGGAGGAGACCGGTTCGGGTCTTGGATAGACAGGATCAAGTCCTGCGCCATGGCAAGACCTCCCATTTTGGTAATGGTTTTGTGAAACATCACGGAGTGGAGGAAGCCACTTGGGAACGTGAAGTTGGAGGTCCGCGAGAGATATTCGGATTGTTTTGTTGATGAGTAATCTTCTGTATTCAAATTTGTAATGTTGTTGGACCTTAAGAGCATCTTATTATGTCATAAGTTGTAAAACATTGGTAATGTTTTGTTTTAATGGAAGTATTATTGTAGAACTACCTTGATATGGGAGTTGATTATGATATTGCATTGTGGCTATATTGATAGAATTGGAGTTTGTATCATGTTAATGTTAATTATGATATGAACTGGTGAACATGTGTATTTGGAAATGGTTTGGAAATGGAAGAAAATTGCACGATTTGATAAATGCACTTGTAATATTATGTTGAAATGCCTCATTGAAAAGAGATGGAAATTGACCGGTTAATGGGTCGAAGTGTTTAATATTATGTCGTAATAATTGTTGAGAATGGAGGAAACCTGTTTTTTTGAAAAAAAACTGTGTTAATTTCGGGGAGAAATTCTTTAAGGGGGGGAGGTATATTAGTGATCCCGGTTTCCCTTTACTGTTCTTGTTGTATTCCGGGATCGGTTCCGCGAAGTTAGTAGTGGTATCTATCTTGTTGTTGTCCTTTAAATTCCACTTGATTAGTTTTAGGATGTTTTGAGCAGGGTTGTTACAAGTTGATTAGGCCTTGGTTTCATTCCTTGTTGTCCAGTTTTTAGACGATCCGCTCGAGCGTGTTCTTCTTGCGCTCTGAGTGGGGATTGTACACCTCCAGTTATTTCGTTTCTGGCAAAACTTCTGCAGATGTTGATTTTACGCTCGAGCGGGTTTGGTTACACGAGCGTGCGCTCGAGCGGGTTTTGGAGGCGCTACGAGCGTGGTAGTACTTTCTTAGGTATAAGTTCTGGGAGGGGAAATCTTGCTGAACGGACTGGTTTTCGCGCTTCGAGTAGAAGTGCTTTATTCTTGTGTTCTTGGCGCTTCGAGCGGGCCTTATTGCGCTCGAGCGTGTTCGATTTTCTTCCTTGGCGCTCGAGCGTTGTGTTCTCCGCTCTCGAGCGGGTCATGCGTAATGAGTTATCCGCTGGGTGATTTTAAAATCACTCTTATTACTTTCCTTTCTCTCTCCACTTTTCTTAAAAGCCATTTTTGAGAGCTCCTCTCTTTAAAACCTTGACTTTCTCTCTAGGTATTGATCTTAGTAGAGTGGAGTTCCTCACCTTCGGCCTTTGTAAAAGTTGTGGATCGTCGAGGCGTTGTTTTGATCCGAAAATCTTGGTCTTTGGAGCATTTTGTTGTGGTCTCCTCTGCCATCCTGGCTCTAACGTTCGAGGTAGGGATAATCCTACTCCTCTTTATGAGCTTTGTCTTAATTTTGCATTTTGATATATGTTGCGGGTTGCTGTCGGTAATTTTGAGAGAGTTTGGCCTTTGTGTAATTTTTTACAAAAGTTGGGGTTTGGCTTTATTAAATAACCTAGATGCAGTGTTTGGCATGGGAAAGTTGAAATTAATAGTTGAAACATTAATGAAAATTGGAACCTAAAGGTTTTAAGTGAATTATGGA